GGGGCAGGCAGGGGTGGGGCAAGGCCCTCCTCTTCTGACTCAGCAGTATGCCAGAACTTTACATCCACTTACTTTCTTCCCCTTATACAAGGGGAAGGAGATAATTCACTATTATAGGGAGAATACCTGTCAGTTGCCATCAACAGAAGGTTAAGTAGAAAAATTAATGGCTAACCATGGTAAGTACTTAGCGCACTGGAACTCATTCCAATCTGCCCCTGCAGACACCCACTTTGAGAAGTGTGGTGACAGTGTGCGTGCGAGAGCACACACACACACACTCACACCCACCCCCACCCCGCCCCCACACACGCGGGCATGACTCTCAACAGGAAAAGACTGGTTCCCTTTGGAACATCTGGGGCCCCGGTGCCAGGCTTCTCCTCCAGACAGCCTCAGGTTCAAAACTGCAGTTCTGAGAAGATGACTAGCCCCCTCCTCCAAGTTACCATCCCTCACCAACCCCACCACCCCCACCCTCGCCCCACCCTCCAACACCCCATCACTGGATGCAGCTTCCAGCTCAGTGGCTGGACAGGCCCATTGTAGGAGGGATGGGCCAGGGGGCTGTGGCTGGAGGAGATGACAGCTGTCTTCTAAATCCCCCACCCCTGAGGTATAATTCTAGGGGGTGAGAGTCTGGCCCAGGCAAGGATATATGGGCACGCACACACAGGCCTGGAGACCTCACCCCTAGAATCAGGGGAAGGCAAGCACCTCTTTATCCCTGTGGTGCTGTGGCTGCCCAGGTCAGCAGCAAAGCCTAGAGTTGGGTCCCCCCAGGGGTCCCGGAGAACCAGTAGAGGAAGACATGCCTCACTCACCGCGAGGTCATGCACGGTCCGAAGTCTCCCCAGAAGAGAGCCAAAGCAGGCAATTACCGTGGAGAGGATGAGGATGGAAAGGGAAAAGAAGGTGATGACGTGGGCCGAACCTGGTGAGAGAAGTGGCCGTGGGTTCTGGAGGACTGGAGCCGTGGGCAGGAGTCTGCCAGCAGCGACTCCACCAGACTGGCAGAGCGACTCCACCAGACTGGGGAGTATACCTCCACAGTGCTGTGGGACTCAGGAGTCCAGGGCAGGAGGACCCTTGCCCAATTCTCCTAACAGTTGGAGTCAGTGAGTGTGACACTGTGGCATCATCCTCTATTTAACAAGTTCAGAAGTTGGCATCTGGTGGGCCCCATTAACTGACTTAAGCGTCCACGTACGTGTCCATTAGCTCAGCCCGTCAGTTACCTCCCACACCATCACAGTCCCTGCCAGCATCTGAGTCATTCATCCTTGCCGTGGCCCCCAAATGGAATCTCTGACCCAAACCCACAAAAGTAAGAACTTTTGAAGTGTGCGTGCTCCAGGATCAGAGCCAACAGCACTAAAAAGCAATCAAGGATTTAAGTCCTGTTCATTTCATTGGGGGAGATATAGTTACTTTTTAATAAAGTAACACCAGGTAAATATTAAAAATCAGTCAGTTAGAGGTTCCTGCACAGTGATGCGTATCATTGGATTTTTATAACCAGCAAAACTAACACGCAAGAGTGCAGAAAGGATTGCCATGGCCGGAACTGAATGCAGCTGTTCAGAAGGCATGGCCTCAGAGTTTGAATGACACTATTTTCTTAACTCAGATCATCACGGTGAGTGAAGAAACGCAGGATACAAATTGAATGTCATCCAATGAATGCCACAATTTTGTGAAGCAGCAAGAAGCCAATGTGCTGACTCCCGCTTGCCCTCCTTCTCCAGGTATGTGCCCAGAAGGACGTCTGGTCACTGACTGCAGGCTTGGGGAGGTGATGGGCCATCGCATTTTGATCTTGATAGTTTTCCTATTTTTGATAACAAATGGTAGTCCTTTGTACTTCTAGAGAAGTGTAATTAAAACATGCAGTCATCTAGGTGGCCGGGGAAGGCTGGTGGGATAGGGCAAGGAAGAGGTACACAAATAAGAGAACTGACCACGGCCGGTCGCAGGGTAAGAAAAGAGGGACTTGGCCTGCTCACTGCACTGAGGTTAAGTCAAGACTGGGGGAAGGGCACATGAGCCGGTGCCAGAGGGATTTCCAGTCTGGAGTCCACAGGGATCAGGGATCGTCCTCTGTGAACATGTCCCTGAGCTCACTGGGGCAGGCAGCTCTGCCCCAAGAGCAGGAGAAAAGCTGGCCACTGGGGCCCACTGCGAGTCCTCCTCCAGGCGCTCCGTCACCCATGAGACCAGGCTCTGCTTGGACCCCAGAGGCAATGTCAAGGGCAGCGAGCGCGGCCCCTGGTAGCTCCAGCATTTTATTTCCTGCCTTGAGTAAACAATGAAGCAAGAGACCCTTACTTGTCTTGAGGGCTACCCAAATGCACAGTCTGGTTGGCAGTGGTTCATGCCCTTCCCATGGCTTCAAAGTTTTGTGGGGCTTGGACGAACTCCTTCAAACCTAGAGAAGCCACCAAGCTTGGCTGTCCTTGATAAGCCCCTCTCCTTCATGGTTTTTGCTGCTCTAACAGTTGTTGAGGGATTTGCAGAGCAGTGGGGGTGGGCAAAGGGCCCAGCAGGCTTGGCACCCACCTAGTCGTAGCACGGAGAAGAAGAGCATCCAGAAGAGACTCAGGAGTGGTGCGAAGATGGCCTGGTTGACTGCGGCCATGTGGATCTGCTCGTTGAGTTTGGTGGGAGCGTAGGAGTAGTACATGTTGTAGCGGTCCGTCATGTGCTTCATGAACAGGTAGAGCAACCCTGGGGGCCCAGAAAACAGAGACACCCTCAGTGGCTGCTTCCACAGTGAGACCTGTGCGGCCCCAAGGCCCCCAGGGGTCTGAAGGGCCAGATCCAGGTCTGTCAGGGCATCAAGGGCCAAGAACAGGCTGTGGGGAGCCCTGCGGTGCCCACCTCTGGGTCATTCCCTCACGCACTCATTCAGCAAGCACCCTGCGTAAACAGTTACTCTGACAGTCATCCATCTGAGCTCAGCCCGACGACCTCCCCCGCCCCCCCGACCTGGCCCTGTCAGCTCCAGCCCTGCGCTGGTCTCCTGTGTTCCAGGGTTGGGCCCACATGGTGGGGCTCAGCTCCCCGCTCCCCCCAGCACGAGGATGTGCAGCCCTGGGCATGATCAGGGAGACTCACCGAAAGGGACGATGATAGGGCAGGTGATACTGTATGCCATCACCACGCTGAAGATGTTTATCATCCACGCATATTCGCGCCCATACTGGAAGTCCAAGGCATGGTCCTGGGGCAGAGGCAGGGTGACCCTCAGGTGGCTTGCTCACCTAGGCTCGGTTGCTTCTTTTCCATTCCCTGGGAGCTGGCTAACCCCTCAGGCCTGGAGCTAGCCCATTCTACCCCTAGGGTCTGAGAAGCACGAGCCCCCCTGCACCGGGTCTCTCTTTTGGGGTCCCCTGGTGTTTCAAATAGGCCCTGATCCTGACACCCTCCCACGGGGACCCTTGAGAGTTGTGCTGAGGGAAGGTCCGGCCCTCACTTTTCTGATGTGGACTCTCTCTGGCTCCGACTTGGAGAAAAAGAGGCGAGTGCAGTACAGGAAGAGAGCCCCCGGGCGTAGCAGCTCCATGCCTGTGCCAAGCAAAGCTGCCGTGATGACGTAGTTGACGAAGAAGGCGCCATTGTCTGGCAGGAACACACACCTGGGCGGGGGGGCGGGGGGGAGAATGGAAGACAGCAGCAGAAGCCAGGGAGAGGCAAAGGGCAGAAGAGGGGAGGGGGAGAGGGAGAGAGCCGAGGGAGTGCAGGTGGGAAGGAGGTAGAGATGGGAGAATAAATCTCCTATATATGTGCACTTCCAACTCAACTGAAGCTAACAACAGCGGGATGGGATGGTCTACAGAAAGCGTGGCGGGCGGTTCTAGGATACTAGGAGCTCTATCTCTGGCTTGATCTGAAGCTGGGCTATTTGATCTGGAGCCACAGACCCTGGAGAGTCCATGAGGAGAATTCTGGGGGACCGTGACCATGACTGGCGAAAAAAATCACATTTTTATTTCATTGACCTCTGACTACAATTCAGCACTTCTTTTGATTATGAACATGGGCGCAAGCCCCAGCAGTATGGGCCACCGCTGGGAACCTGTCACTCGTGGGCTGTGTTGGGTCACACAGCAGTCACAGCTGGTATCCTACAGTATCACCTCTTAGAGTGAGGGTAGCTACGAGGCTTGCAGCTAAGGTACCCCGGATTGCAACCGCCTGTCTGCATGTGTGCCTTAGACGCCTCGGCCAGCTTCAGCTGGGATTCTGTCAAGCAGTGATCAAGCTGCCTGGCTCACACTGCTGATCAGGGTGTCCCTGGCTGTCCAATGTCCCCATCTATGCAATTCTGTCAACTTCCTTGAAGAGAAATCTGTAGCCCCTGGTCATATTTCAGAACTCTTTCAAAGGCTATATTTTCTGGATGGCATGAGAGTTAAGCAATGGACTCACACCACCTTCCTCCCATATACATAAACTTTCCTGAAGACACTGACCTATCAGAAGGACTCAGTCATTTAGGGGGTGGGGGAGAAACAACCCAACTTATTACAATTATAGTTCAATGGCAGAAACTTTGGAAAAGTCTGGTTCTTGCCCTATAGTTAGGGAAGTTTATAGGTCATTTGCAACATTCAGACTTTGGCAAATGGAATTTCAGACTTGTACCCCTAAAAACAGAAAGCTCAAATGACTGTCTAATAGGACTGTGTGTTGTCTCGTCAAAGATCCATGCCTGCCCCCACTGTAATCTCTCCTAAATCCTATCAGTGCTCACACTGAAGCACTGCATAAAATAACAGTGAAACTTTAGCTTTGCCTGTATTTAAAACGCATTGTCTTGTTATTAAATGTGTTCATAGCGATCACTACAATTTAATTTTTAGAGTATTTTGATCATTACATTTCACTATACTTGATTCCCAAGTATTCTATGCCTCTAAAGATAGTTATTCTGAGTATGTAAAAAACAGGCTATCTCGGAATGACTTTTGTGGGTTGTAGCAAAGCCAGTTCCTGGTTGTGTTATTACACTATAGTTACATTGCAAGAGGTACCTTAGGGGAAGGGATCACAGCACATTTATGGGGTAATTTATCATGGATCTATAATTATTTGAAAATGATCATTCAGAGAATGGCCCAAGTGGTCCATGGCACCAAGAAATGATAAGCGGAGGCCTAGTGAGGGACCACACACACGTATCACTACCCGTGTGGGAAATAAGACCACGCATATCCTGCTGATGCGAACTATACACAGGAAGCCCCAGTGAACCCCGGGACAACACTTGGTACTCACTGGAATCTGATGGATGCCTGTTCCAGATAGTAGATATCAAAAAGCCACCGGAAAAAGACATCCAAGCTAGAAACAAGAGCAAGACAGGCCATGAGTTAATGAGGTCTGTGAGCCTCTGTGTTCAATACCTACGAGATTGGCTCCCCTCTTCTCTCCTCCCTCACCCACCCTCCAAAGTGGGTAACATTCCAGCTAGCCAGTCCACATTACCTCTCTTTCTTCTGAATGTGGGGCTTTCTCTGCCTCTCACCCATTGGTCTTTCAACCTCAGGCCACCTCCTCCAATAAACCTTTGTCAAACATTTTTCCCAGTGTTCCTCCTGACTTTCTACTGTGAGCAGGTTGTTTTCCCCACCTGGGCTGGCAGGCAGCTGGTAGGCGTGGCAGCTCTTCCTAGCTGATGACAAGTTCTTTGAGGGCAGAGTTTATGGCTGAACCTAAGAGTACCTGGCTCATGCTAGGCTCATGACAGGCATTGAACTGTCATTTGAGAAACAGATTTGCAGCAACCGCAGGTAGGCCTACAGTCTCTGCAAGAAGAGGCCCCAACTCTAGGGTGAGCCTGGCTGTGAGAGGACATACAGTACCTGGTCAGCCCCATCGAAGGCAGAATGACCACCATGAACACCAGGAAGATATAGCACTTGTGCACTATGATCAGATTCTGACTTGATCTAAAAGGAGACAGAGATGTCATCAGTGAGTGTTAAGAATCAAAGAACTACAGAAGCCTACTTCCTGGCCTGGAAAACTGGCTTAAGAGTGTATACCAGTGCCATTTCAGCCATCTCAGGAAGCTCAATGAGCTGTGCTTGAATTGGCACAGTAGTGAAGAGCATGATCAACTAGTGATGTCTGCCCTGGGCACAAGAAGGGGAAGGAGGGCTCTGACTCGGCTAATACTTGACATCTTTGTGTTAAAGGGACATTACCAATGATGCTCAGAATCCCTAGAGTTTCAATAATTGACATGGTAGTTTTTGGTGCAGGGAAAAACTTTTGAGACCCACATAGTCTTCAGGTCAAAGCAGGTACTTGTCCCAGGACATGGAACATATCTTCTAGCCAATTAGCATCTATAAGGCCCATATACTATAAGGGCTAACAAATAAGAAAAAGCTCCTGATTGTATAAAAGGCAGGCGCTGTGAGGGCTACCCAGTTCACAGGCTCCTCTGCTACAGTTACAGCGGCCTTCTTTAGGGTCTCTTATTCTGTGTCCTCTGCCTGGAGTGCCTGGTATGGCCCAATCTCTGTTTATACCTCTACCCTCTTAGTGCATGGCTGAGGGAATAGCCCAAGGGTGGCTTGGTTTTAACCTCACCCACTTATATGGTGGGATGTTTCAATATCCTTGAGGCCAGCGGCTCAAAGACAACTCAGTGCCCTCCATCCACAAGACAAAACAAAACAAGCTGCTAGTTTTGGGTATCTGAGTCCTACATCAATTCCATTCCTTTGAGCAGATGAGAAGCCAGAGCACCAAACTGGGGGGTGAGAGCAGGGGCAGGGTCCATGCCACTCACCTGGTCCAGTGGGCCTCGAGGAAGGCCGAGAAGTAGACAATCAGAGGCAGTATCACTGTAAAGGCCCAGAGCAGCAGGGAGGGGAAGAACTGGGTCACAATTGGGCTCTGCAGGGGTGAAGCAGGAGACGGCAGAGGCATCAGTGCAAGAAGTGGCCCTTTCCCCCCTGCCAGCCGCCAGGCCATACCCAGTCTCAGAGCAGGCCTGGTTCCCCCTTACCCCCCCCCGACCCCCGAGGCTGTGCAGCAGGCCTGGCCTTCTCACCCACCTTCCTGGCCAGCATCTACCTGTCTGGGGGTGTGCAGGGGGTGCTCCCTCGGACACAGCCTCCTGGTGCAGGCCACTGGAGGGGCATTCTGGTCTCCCTCTAGTGACCTACCTGAAGGCCAGAGTGGCACTGTCACTGTGTCAGACCCCAGGGAGAGGACCTTGACTGTCTCACTTGTGCAAGAGTGGCAGAGAAGGGGGTGAGGAAATGTGAAATGAAAACCTTCAAGGAGGGTTGTGGAATTCAACTCAAAGGAGGCTGCAGAAGAGGGCAAGTAAGCAGCAGAAGCAGGCAGCTGGTGCGTGAGTGCTCGTGTGTATGCGTGTGAGTGGGCGGGGACTACGTGCAAGGAGGGATCTTCAAGCTGCTGTAACAGGTTTGAGCCGACAGTGTGGACACGGGCCAGTGCAGTCCCTCACACCCTCATCGGGAGGCTCCTTCTCAAACCTCAGGGACAGCGCCTGCCGTGGGCACTCCCAGTCTGGAGAAGGGGTGCCCGGAAGTGAGGGGAGTGGAGATAGGTCTGGGTGTCTTGCTTCTCAGAGGGCTGCATGGGACTTACCTCTTTCCTCCCCAGCTTCAATCTTACCCCTCGAGCCAGGGGCCCTCGCTCCAGAGCAGGTGGGGACTCAGTGACACACTCGCCAAACCCTCTCTACTTGGCCTAGATTGACTGGACCTAAGGGAACCCACTGACTCTAGGTCTGTCTAGACCACCTGGCCCCTCCCAACTCACCTCAGAAGCTACCTGTTCTCCCCTGAAAAGAATCCCAGCCCCAGGTACCCAGAGATGGTACCGACCCGCCTTCATCCTGTTTAAAACTAAGGGGGCTCTAAGCCACCCTGGCACACTGCCACCTCCACCATGCTGCATGGGCCCCGGAGCCGCGTGCTGTGACCCCCACTTCCTCGCTGGCGCTCTTCCTTCATCTCCTGGGGACCCACACGCCCTGCTGAGCGAAGGAGGCACCTGCAGGTTCTCGATGGGGCGGGTGACATTGTACATGTCGATGGTGTTCATGATGATGGCAGGCGTGGTGAGGAAGAAGAAGAGGAAGAAGAGGGAGGTGTTGATTAAGATAAAGCGGGCCCACCAGTGGAAGCGGCGGACTGAGAGGTGTTTCCTGGGGAGGAAGGAAGGAGGAGGTGACTTAGGCCCTGGTTCCAGCCCAGAGACAGCACCCAAGTGCCGTTTCCTGCATGCCAGCTGTGGACCAGGTTCCGGCCCGGTGCAGCCCCTTGGGGCTGACACATATGCAACTGGGCTGCCCACCTGCCCCTCAGTGTGCCAGGTGTGAAGACTCCCATAGGTGAACCCCAAAATTGATGTGAGTTCTTTCTGCAGCAAAAGCCTTTTCCCCCCAGGGTTCAGTGCCTTCCACGCTGATGGTGAGGTGGTTCAGGGAGTGGGGGAGGGGGGGAGGAAGCTACAGTGTCCAGGAGAGGACAGGGCCCTGCCCAGGTAGGCCCAATTCCTTCCCCGTCCTTTACCTTTCGCAGTGTTAGAGGAGCTCAAAGGAGCGGGAGGGAGAGAGGGAGCTTACCAAATAATGTCTTTGGGGTGTGGGGCCAGGGAGACCCTCCACTGGTGGGATTTGACCATGGTGGTGACCGAGGACTGGTGGGGAGGCATACCGCAGTGGATGAACTTGTAATCGTCCAGGACTCTGCGGGGAGGAGAAAGGGGACAGGTGTGGGGGAGAGAACAGCTTGTGGGGAAGGGGGGATCTCATACCAGGGTCCCAGGCCGACTGTGAGGGTTCCTCTACTTCCCGGGGATTCTGAATGTCTCCCAGAATTTTAGAGGTGATGGTACCTAAGGCCTAGGGGAGAGATATTGGAAGGTCCCAGATTGTCCAAGAAGGTAGGGGGTGGAGGGTGAGGGGTGGCCACATGGCTCTGTTAATTTCTTTCCTTCTTAACAGCGGTGATGCCATAAAGATGGGCGCTTTCGGGGCAGTTGGCGGGGAGGCGCTAATGTCAGCCTTCTCATATTAGCCGCTACCAGTTACTGAGTTCTTTCTGTGAGCCTGATACTGCATCATTGGTGATTAATATCATCTCAGCTGCACAGATTACTAAATTGAGGTCTGAGGTGTCTGAGATACAGCCAAGGAGGGGCAGGGGCTGGCCCTGGAGCCCTGTCTTGGTCTTTGAATCCGAACTTCTGCTGTAATTAAACCTCAACTTCTGTCTACCAAGTGACAGTACCTCAGACAATAAACTGCCTTGTCTGATGCAGGTTCTCATAGTCAGTGCACGCCCATGTGACCCCCTAGTTGGTGTACAGGGAAGCTAGAAGTAATCAGAGTTGACTGGTAAGGAGTTTGAGAATATAAACAACTTGCAAAATTGCACACAGTTGTTTGTGACTAAGTGCTGGGCCATTCCAGTGTTCCTCTGTAGAGTTGGGTGAGGGAGGACAGCATCCTGATCACATTGTGACCAGGCTCCCTCAGAGAGAGAAGGGCCCTCACAAACCTCAGGAGACTGACTCTGGGGCTCCCATCTATGTAGTCCTAAGGATCCTTCCAGAACATTCTAGAATGGGTCTCGCCCCCCATTCCCTATCAAAGGGGGCTGTGAGAGGCTAGAAAAGGGGAAGGGGAAACCAGGAGGTTATGAATTAGGGGAGGCCTGAAGCAGGGGAGGATGGAGGCCCAGAGGCCCTTCTCTGCTCTCCCACTCATGGTGAAGAGAAGGGTGACATGAAATAAAAGGGAAACTGGGCATCATTCTTCTCAAGGCCTGAGAGAGGAACTAGGGTGGGAGGCTCCTCTCCCTATCTGCATTGAAGTAAGGGCTTATGGGAACAGGCAGCCCAGGACCGGAGCATATCTAGAGACAAGCTGAGCTAGAGAATGGAGACGGGTGTGGCCATGCTCTGGAAGGCGCTGCCTGTGAGGAGCAAGGACGGGGGGCGGGGGGGGGGTCAGAATATAGCTGCACGGAGGGACCGTCTTTCTCCTCCCCTTGGGGGCATAGTGGTGAGACGTCAGGTCCAGAGAAGCAAAGCCTGCTCCAGGGCTACTTGGGCCCTGGCCTTGCACTCACTGCTTCGCCATCCTGGAGCTCTGGAAGGTGACAAAGATCAGGTCCAGACGCTTCATTCGCACTCGGTTGAACTCAGCGTTGAACTCGTCGGTCAGCTGCTCCTCGAGCTCACTGTAATATTGCTCAGCGTCTACCTGGGGTGACAGGTGGCCCTCAGAGCTGGAGGCCGGAGTGCCAGGGAAGGCGCTCCTGGATGTGGGCCTCTCTCCCCTCCGCAGCTCGGGGCGCAGGTCTGAGGCCCCAGCTCCAGCTCCCTTTGGGTGGACTTCACACCCAGGTGGGCTCTACGACCCCAACTCTAGAACAGGAAGAGGCTATGGGTGGGGGAGGGAGGTGGGAGAGGAGGTCAGAGATGCTGTCAGACTTGGGGTGGACTCCAGAGAAGTGACAGCATATTTGCAGCATTTTCAGGCAAGGGGGATGATCCTTCTCCTCGACAGGTTGGCGGTTCTTCCTGCCTTGAGCAGGGGTTCATGTCTGGGGCCTCCTCAGTTGTAGTATTCACAGGTTCCTGACCAGCTCTTTGACAGCTCAAGGCCTGGCCACTGACGCGGGCCTGCGTGTGCAATCAGGTCTCCCATCTGAGATCACACCTCCAGGCTCACTCCAGAGGTGGCCCCAAGACTGGAGGCCGCAACTCTGTACTCTCAGCAGAGAACGGGACACAGGAGGTGGGAGGGAGGAGCCACAGCAGACCCACCCGAAGGGGGCCCGGGGCCCCAGGATTCCGATGAGTGGTACTGTCCGGAGCCCTGGGCACAGCCTGGAGACCAGTACCACCCTCTCACCCTGCTGTGCCCGGCCGCCCTCGCCAGCTACCTCCTTGAAGCAAGTCCAGCAGTCACAGAAGCAGAGGCGAGAGCAGGGGTGGATCTTGATCATCACCTTCCCACTCTTCTTGGCCTTGGCGGTATAGTAGAGCCGGCCCCGCATGGCATGGCGTCTGCAGTCGGTGGGCAGGGGGTTGGGGGGAAGACTCTCGTGATCGTGGCCAACAGCAGCATCCTGTCATCCCCGCCCCAGGGGGGACAAGCTTACAGCAGCTCACCTCTGATCGTCCAAGTCGACCAGGGTCCTCACGTCGTAGCAGAAGTGGACTCTGGTCACCACGCACCCTTGATAGGCCTCCCTGCACCAGACATAGATGCTGAGCCATGTGGGCTGGGGAGTGCGGGCCCCTCGGCCCAGAGCTCTGCCTGCAGGCTGCCTCCCCTTCCCCCCCCACCTGTGCTCCTCGGGTCTCAGGCAGGAGAATGCACCCCTGGCTCCTAAAGCTGAACTTCAGCCTTCCCTGAGACTTCCCACCACCGTTCCTGAGGGCCTTGGGATGGGGCTGGGGCAGAGCCGGAAGGAATCTGGCTCGTGGAGATAATGGTGAGCTCCTGGGGCAGGGACTGGAGCACAAAGGATGTCTCAAGTTAAACTGCTCAGGTAACCTCGGTCCAGGAGCACCTTGGGCCCCCATCTTTGGAGAAACGAAGGGAAGGGAAGTTACTGTCACCCCATCACTCCCGCGTCATGCAGGAAATCCCTAACTTCAGAACCCCGCTTGGGTCCCAGCACCTGCTCCACTCGGAAAGGCTGACCCTAAAGTGAGTCACCAAGGGGTGGTCTCCCTCACCCACCATCCTGTGCCCGCTCACCCCCCAAATGAGGGTCCTTGCAGAGTGACTGGAAGGAGCAAGCCCCGCCTCAGCCCATCCCCCCACTTACTGGAAATGCTTAGTGATGATTTCCGGGTCTTGGATGTCCTTGGGGACAAAGGTGACCATCAGTGTCTTTGAGACCTAGAGAGGGAGGGGGTGTAGGGAGGAGGCTGTGTTCACTGCAAGTCTCTGAGGAGGCCTCAGGGCGGGCCGAGGGTGCCCCACTCCCCGTCTCACTTCCCATCAGTGCCCGGCATGCCTGGCTGCTGGCACGCCACAAGGGCCAGGTAGATACCCGCGGTCCAGCAGTGCTCCCCAAGGGCAGCTTGGCTTGCACCCTCCTTCCTAGAGTTGAGGGTGTACTCAGCCCACTTCCAGAGCCAGCCAGAGTGGAGGAGAGTGAAAGTGCCCAAGGGGGCCCTCTAGCAGCGAGGGACCGGGCATCAGGCCCCTCCCTAGGCGGGATGTTCTTCACCTGCACCGCTATGGGCAGGGGGAGCTGGACCCCAAGGGGGAGCCTGGCAACCAGGTGCTTCCCAGGGCTCAGGGGAGGTTTGCCCAGCTCAGTGATGCCACCTCCAACAGGTAGGGGGCGCCGCGTGGGGTGTGTCTGCAGGCTGGAGTGTCTGCCCAGCAGGGAGGGACAAACCTGGGGGGCGGGGACAGCTCCCCTGAGGTTCAGTACTTGCTTACCTTGTAGCTCCTCTTGGGCACAAACCCCAAGCAGTGATGAGTCATGAACATGATGTTGGTGACAAAGTAGAAAAAGGAGAAGCAGCAGTGGAGCCACAGGATCTTATTCCTGCCAGGAGCAAGACACAGAGGGTGAGGCCACCCTCCCCGCCCCCACCCCCAGTCTCCCTGGACCACCTCCTGGGGCCTCCGGCACCGGGGCGCTTGGAAGGGGGCCGTGATGGGGAGAAGGGTGTTCCCCCCCAGGCCACCCTTCGCTGAGCGCCTGCTAGCCCACGCCCCGAGGAGCCAAGCACTTTCCAGACCCCGGCCCCGCGTGAGGGTGGGACTGGGCTGTGCTTTTTTTTTTTTTTTTTAATAATGTAATAGTTTATTTTTACCTCATTCTGTGCCCTTTTCCATCTCAGTTGTAATCCCCGTGGGCTTCCCATCATCAAATCACCCGTGTGCCATCACCATAGTCCAGTGCACTGCCCTCCCCCATTTTGATCCCATTCCCCACTCCACCCCCATAAAATGTGTGACTATGCATTTTACCTGTCAGGAAAGAGAGTCACAGTGTTGGGCAACCTTCCTGAGGCTACTCCTCAGGGTGGCAGCCTGGGGGTGCAGAAGCCCTAGACTTTTTTGGGGGGAGTAGAAGAACTGTGGTATAGGCCAGAAATATAGGGGTGAGAGGATTTATCAGAGACAGAGTGAGAAGCAGAACACGTAGATCTACTGAACTACACTGCTGAGGGGAGCAGCGGGCGAGACAGGAGGGGTCTGCTGTGCCATGTGGGTCAGCTCCCTGGCCGGGGATCGAACTCAGGCCTGAGTGTGGGTGATAGCAGAGGCTTAACCCCCAGCCGCCAGGGAGGCCAGAAGCCCTAGATTCTTTACGGCTATGTCAGGCTGGCCTCAGCTGCCATCTGGGACCCCACAGCTGCCCAGCAGGCCTGGCAGGGGCTACAGTCTGTGGTGAAGGGCTCGGGGCCCTCTACAGGTCCACCAGGGAGGTAACCTGGTGTATCCATCTCCTGGGGTAGGAAGACTTGGATTTTTAGCTCCGTGACACTGTCTGGAGACCTCTGGCCAGACCTCTGGCTGACTGTACAGAAATAGGATCCGCCTTACAGGGTGTGGTTTGAGGAGAGAAAAGCTGCCTTGCTTCAAAATACATCCTCACCACTCTGACATTTCACTCAACATTTCCCATCTCAGGCTGCTGTAGCTGCAGGTCCTTCGAGAGGCAAGGCTATGTGGTCTCTTAGGAACATTCCAGCTCTCTGCCACATTGACAGATGTGGAAGGCTCTTTGCCGCCCTGTTAAAACTCACCTCCTGTTGGGCAGGGAGAAGCACCCCGATGCCAGGGGCCGGCTTGGGGGAGGCTGGTCGGCACTGTGCTGGGGTTGGCAGCACCCAGAGGGGTTGGCTGAGGAGAGGTGAGACGGGGCCGGGGTCCCCTCTGCTGACTCTGGATGGGGTTGGGGTGGATTTCGGGGATGCAGGGGCAGAGGAAGCCGGTCGGGGAGTAGGCGGAGTGGGAGTGTGCGAACCCTCACTCACACCTTGGGGAGTCTCCCTGGTCTGGCCAAGATGCCAGTGGGCCTGTTTTCTCAAGATGGACCAGCAGGGCCATGCCAGGCCCAGCATAGACTGATTTATGAAATGGATTAAGTGATGTTGAAATTCACATGACCATCAGGGAAGAAGGGGGCTTCGAGATCATGGCCTCTAGCCCTTCTCCTGCCTGGGACCAGGGAGGGGGGCTCAGCGAGGGTGAGCGCTGCTGAGACTAGTTAATGTTGTGTGATCCAGGTCGTCTGCTGTGGGAGTCAGGCCTGTGCATGAGGGCTCATGTAAACCCATTTTGTGGGCAGGGAAACAATACCTTAACCCTCTAGTCAGGATCAGGTTAAGCAAACAGAACCACCTTTCCAAGTCCCCCCCAGAGAGACAGGGACGCTGAAGCAGCCAGCATCCTACCCAAACTACTGAGGATGCAATTGGGCGTCTTCCTGAGCCCTGCGATCCCAAGGACAGCTGGTCTTTCTTCTGAGCAAGCGGTACAGACCCAGGCGATAGCCCGCCTCTCCCAGGGTCCCTCCCAGCCAACAGAATGGGAGGTAGGAGGATCAGGTACCTACTCTGTGGAGATATTGACGATGGTGGTCCGCCCAAAGTGACTGTTCCATTCTGAAAGAGAAGAAGGTAGCTCACTCAATCACAGCTTCTCAGCCCGCTGCTGTGGGGGCCAGAACGCACGTCCCTGGATGAATGCCCGGGTCTGGAGGTGCTCGCTCGTCCTCCTCCTCCTTCTTGTCTCAACTTGCAACACAAACAGCAGCGGACTCTTCTCCCTGAGGCTGACTGGGGCTCCGGGCTGTGAAGTGTGTGGCGTGTGGCTCCCCAGAGTGGGACTGTCCCAGGGACACAGGTAAATGCTTGTGGAAGGGACCAGTTTGCAGGCCGTGGGCAGAGATGACGTGAGCGAAGCTGTTACCCCTGGCGTCAACCACAGACCCCAAAACGCCAGACTGATGCTGCCTTACTTGGACAAGACCAACCTTTCTCGCTAAGTGTCTTAGTTTGCCCATAGGCACGTCACCAGAAACATGTCTGGAAATGCTGTATTATTGCCAACATGCTCCTGCTTAGAATCTGGAATGACAGGACTCTGAAGTTATTTACTCTGGGGGCAGTACTCGGTGGCCCAGACATCAGCATGTTGTACTGAGTTAACCGTGGTCTGCTCTGGACAAGAGGAAAAAGGAGGCGACCCATGGCAGCTGGTAGCCACCCGGGCACTCGAGGTGCTGCACTGTGCCTGCCAGCTGGCCAGTGCTCAGCGAGCCCTGGGCAGCTTCTGCTTGTCAGGAAAATGGTGCTGTTATCACTGAGGGCCTCCCGCATGGCACGCTGCTGCTTATACCCGCATGCCCACAGCCGGCAGGGACGCCGAGGAGGCCTGCGAGACCTGCCCACTGTGCTTCAAAGCCCAGGTGCTCACCCACGTGTAACTGAGCCACAAGGACTGATCCTGTGATCCCAGAGGTGGGCAGGTGTCTCACGAGACACACCCCACGCTGGGAGCTGTGTCCGTTGGTGCGCGCCCAGGGAGGAATCAGGGTCAGGGATCTCTGTGGTCGGTCGTACAAGGGCCTGGTGAATACCCAGCCAGGCATGGCAAAGGGTGATAGATCAGTTCTAGAAGAGGCCAACCGTGACTAAGAAGTGTCATCCCCACGTTCCACAGAAGCACAGGTAACACATGTTACTAACATGACCACTAACTTCCAGAAGGGTTACAATCCAGATTTCGCGATGCCGAAGACCCACACCCTGGCCACCCGCCAAGCTGCCCAGGTCTGCCCAGGCCCAGGCCCAGGGTCCACTGAGCTCCACCTACCCAGAACTTTTCCAGTGTAGTTGATGGGCAAAATGATGCCCAAGGAGGGGATGCAGAGGATAAGCACGAAGATGATGAGATGATACTGGAACATGATGTAAATGCGGGCGTCATCGCCACACTTGTTGATCAGGTCTTCGTTCCTAGAAGAGACACAGATGGGACGTGGCCAGGGTGTCGGCGGGGGCGCCATGTTTCATGGAAGCACCTAATCTACATTTATCGTAACTGTGACTCTCCAAACGTTTATAGGGTTCTCTAGTTCCATATACCAAACTCCCATGAACAGATACATTCATTATATTTGCATAAGATTTTATATGTAACAGTAACTACTTCTGGAAACTTTCACCATTAAAAAGTCTGACAAATCAAGTGGAAAGAAAATAAATTGG